TGCCACCATCGCCCGGCCTATACAAAGATTTTGAAAACAATCTGCCACCCAGAAAGCAAGTGAAATGGAGTCAAGGACTTCAATGAAAGAAAAGAACAATGTAGGAAAAATCAATGGGATGGTCAGACAATCTTTTCCTGGGACATAGAAACTAGACCAAGATGAAATAGCTTCTTGATTTCATGATCTAAGTGCTAGCCTCCAGCCTGAACACAAAAAGATCCAGATTATTTGAACTGGTTGTCGATCAGGGTCCCCTTCATTTTTGCTTTCTTGGCTTCCAATTCAGCCAGCTCTTGCAGTCGCCTCTTGCTCATGCCTTTGCGCTCCAGCTGTTTTTCAATCACTTTGGCATTCTGTGCATAGGAGTCAGCAACTTCCCGAGCCTCTATCTCTTCTTCTTCTTCATCAATGGTAGACACAGTAACAGAGCTGAACTTGCCCATGTCTTTAGTCCGTTTGGTCATCATAACCTTCTTAGGAGGCTCCTGCTTCTGGGTATATATATTGGTTTTCCCAAAGCCTTGGCCAAATTTCACTACGGCTCCATCCACGATGAAGGTCACAGGAGCATTCTTTGGCTGGGACTGGTAGAAGAGCGGCAGCCCACACTTTGCACACTTCTTTCTGTACTGACGTTCAATGCCCTCAGGCCTCCGAAGATAGGTAGTCTCCTCATCTTCTGTGTTACAAAACTTATGAGCATGTTTGGCAGCATCAATCACGCGAGACTGGTCCCGGGGTCTCATGGGCAATTTCTCTAACTGACAATCCAGCACCAGGACCATCTGGCTGCACAAACAGTAGTAAACATGGAGGGGCTTCTCGCCGTTATCATATTCCTCGCGGTCCCGGGTGTCCGAGCAAACCACCGACCGGGACACGACTTTCGGGCCGCCCGCCCCCTGAGTGGCTGCTGCAGCGCCAGGAGTCGAGGATGGTAAAATGACCCAGGGGAAGAAAAAGAAACGGGCCGCGAACCGCAGTATCATGCTGGCCAAAAAGATCATCATTAAAGACGGAGGCACGCCTCAAGGACTAGGCTCCCCTAGTGTTTACCATGCGGTCATTATCATCTTTTTGGAGATTTTTGCGTGGGGACTCCTGACAGCACCCACATTGGTGGTATTGCATGAAACCTTCCCTAAACATACATTTCTGATGAATGGCCTAATTCAAGGAGTAAAGGGTTTGCTGTCCTTCCTCAGTGCCCCACTTATTGGTGCTCTTTCTGATGTTTGGGGCCGGAAATCCTTCTTGCTGCTAACAGTGTTCTTCACCTGTGCCCCCATTCCTCTGATGAAGATCAGCCCCTGGTGGTACTTTGCTGTTATCTCTGTTTCTGGGGTTTTTGCAGTGACATTCTCTGTGGTATTTGCATATGTAGCAGATATAACTCAAGAACATGAAAGAAGTATGGCTTATGGGCTGGTTTCAGCGACGTTTGCCGCCAGCTTAGTCACCAGCCCTGCGATTGGAGCTTACCTTGGACGCGTGTATGGGGACAGCTTAGTGGTGGTCCTTGCTACAGCAATAGCTCTGCTAGACATTTGTTTTATCCTCGTCGCTGTGCCAGAATCATTGCCTGAGAAGATGCGGCCAGCATCGTGGGGAGCGCCCATTTCCTGGGAGCAGGCTGACCCCTTTGCATCTTTAAAAAAAGTGGGCCAAGATTCCATAGTGCTGCTGATCTGTATCACGGTGTTTCTCTCCTACCTACCGGAGGCAGGCCAGTACTCCTCCTTCTTCCTGTTTCCCCAATTCTCCTCTCTCTTTGTCCCGCCTATACTTCCTGCCTGGTCACTGGCCATCAGTGTTTTATTTACATAGAGTAATATCCACAGCATATATATATATAAAAAAAAACCCTGGGAACCTGGAGATGTGGTTAGGGTATAGTGATCTTGCAGAAAACCTGAGTTCGGCTCCTGGCACCCACACTGGGTAGCTTACAACCTCCTCTAACTCGAGTTTCAGGGAACGGGTTTTTATCCTCTTCTGGCCTATACACACATATTTAATTTAAAATAAATCTTTATTTTTTCCCAAAACAGGCAAAAAAAATAGATTTATTTATTTATTATGCATATAGTGTTCTGCCTGCATGTATGCCTGGAGGCTAGAAGAGGGCACCAGATCTCATTACAGATGGTTGTGAGCCACCATGTGGTTGCTGGGCATTGAAATCAGGACCTCTGGATGAGCATCTCTCCAGTTCAATAAAAGATTTTAATTCTTTGTTCTTAACACATTTTATAGTATTTGATAGAAAAGACTTGCCAGGTGGTGGTGGCCCATACCTTTAATCCCAGCATTCGTGAGGCAGTGGCAAGTGGATCTCTGTGAGTTCGAGGCCAGCCTGGTCTTCAAAGTGAGTTCCAGGACAGCTAGGGGTACAAAGTGAAACCCTGTCTTGGGGCGGGGGTGGGTGCTGGTGGTGGTGGGGGAAGTAACTTGGGGAAAAGAGAGTTTATTTATTTTTACCTTATAGGTTATAAGTCAATTACTGAGCAAAGCCAGGATAAGAACTCAGGGCAGCCGGGCGGTGGTGGCGCACGCCTTTAGTCCCAGCACTCGGGAGGCAGAGCCAGGTGGATCTCTGTGAGTTCAAGGCCAGCCTGGGCTACCAAGTGAGTCTCGAAAAATCTAAAAAAAAAAAAAAAAAAAAAAAAGAACTCAGGGCAGAGACCTGGAGGCAGAAACTGATGCAGAGGCCATCGAGTGATGTTGCTTTCTGGCTTGTTTCTCATGGCTCATTCAGTCTACTTTCTAATAGCACCTAGGGCCACCAGCCCAGGGTAGCATTGCCCACAGGAAGTTAGGTCCCCCCACATTAATCACCAATCAAGAAAATGTCAAGCATGGTGGCACACACCTTTAATCCCAGCACTCAGGAGGCAGAGGCAGGCAAGGATCTCTGTGAGTTTGAGGCCAGCCTCATTTACAGGGTAAGTTCCAGACCAGCCATGGCTACATAGAGAGACCCTGTCTCAAAAAAGAAAAAGAAAGAAAGAAAGGGAGGAAGGAAGGAAGAGAGGAAAAATGTGTGTGTGTGTGTGTGTGTGTGTGTGTGTGTGTGTGTGTGTGTGTGTGTGTTTTGCCTGCATTATGTCTGTGCACCGTGTCTTTGCCTGGTGCCCTCAGAGACCAGAAGAGGGCATTGGATTCTCTGGAACTAGAGTTACAGGTGGTTGTGAGCCACCACACAATTAGAATCGAACCCAGCTCCTCTGCGAGGGCAGCCCGTGCTTTTAACCACTGAGAGCCATGCCTCCAGCCCTTACCTGGAATTCTTTCATAAACAAGAGCTTTCCAGGGCCCGGGAGACGACTCAGACGACAAAGTGCTTGCTTGCACACAGCGTGAGGAGCCAGGCTTGACTCCCGTGCTCATACAGAAGCTAAGCGCTATGTGTCACCTATGATCCCAGCAGCAGGAGGTTATCTGCGGCTCACTGGCTAACCAGTCTACCTGAATGGGTGAACTCCAGGTTCAGAGAGATTCTGTTTCCAAAAACAGAAAAATGGAGAGAGATTGAGGAATATGCCCTGTGCTGATCTCTCGCCTACACACACACACACACACACACACACACACACACACACACACACACACTCACTCACTCACACTTGAGAACTTTCCAAATGGAAATGGAAAAAAGAGCTGGGTGGTGGTTAATCACAATACTCAGGAGGCAGAGGCAGGGGGATCTCTGAGTTGGAGGCCAGCCTGATCTATAGAGTTCCAGGACAATCTGGACTACACAGAGAAACACTTCGAAGGGAGGGAAGAATGGTCTTTTCTTTTTTTGTTTGTTGTTTTGTTTTGTTTTTCGCTTTTTGTTTTTCGAGACAGGGTTTCTCTGTGTAGTTTTGGTGCCTGTCCTGGATCTCGCTCTGTAGACCAGGCTAGCCTCAAACTCAGAGATCCGCCTGGCTCTGCCTCCCAAGTGCTGGGATTAAAGGCGTGCGCCACCACTGATCAGCAGGAATGGTCCCTTACCACCTAGGACAACCTGGTGACTCCCAAGGTTCACACAGAAGGGACCAAGACTCTGTTCTTCCCTTAGCTGCTCTTTTCTCTGTCTGTACCTCCCGCTTTAGTCTCGCTCTCAGAAGACACTCTTAAAAACCCTCTGTGTTTCCAGTGCATTCGCTAATCAAATGCGCCACTGGCAGGCAGACAGGAGCCCCTTGTTCTTTATGGAAGCCCATTCTTCGCTCTCTTTGTTTGGTGGCACGTACTTCCCAGACCTGGGAATCAACCTTTCCTCTAAGGAGCTTTTCAGTGATACTTTCTGGGGACCACGGCCTGCCGCCGCCGCAGCCGCCACCACCACCGCATACACTTGCTAGGGCCTCACATGCTAAGCAAGAGTTCTATTCTTTTTTCCTTTTGGGGTGTGTGTTTTTCCATGTGTGTGCATCCCATGTGTGACTAGTGCCCACAGAGACCGGATGAGGACCCTGGATTCTCTGGAACTCGAGTTACAGATGGTTTGTGTCTGGGTGGGCTCCTAGGCAGAGATCAGAGGTCAGCTTCAAGCATTGCTGCTCAGGAGTTGTTCACCTTGTTTTCTTTGGGTTTTTCAGACAGGTTTTCACTCTGTAGAGCCGTCTAGCTTCAAACTCCCAGAGATCTGTCTACCTCTGTCTCTGGGATTGGTGTGTACCACCACATGCCATCTACCACCTTGTCATTTTTTTTTTTTAAATCAGGTCTCTGATTAGGTCAGTGAGCCTCCAGATCTGTTTGTTTTTGCCTCTGCAGTGATGGGACCACAGGGCTTGGCTTCCTTGCTTTGTTTTTATTTTTCTCCTATTTTTTGTGTATTTATCTTTTTATTTATTATTTTTGATTTTCCAAAATAGGGTTTCTTTGTGTAACAGCCCTGGCTGTCCTGGATCTCATTCTATAGACCAGGCTGGTCTGGAACTCAGAGATCAGCTTGTTTCTGCCTCCCAAATTCTGGGATTAAATGTCTTTGCCACCAAGCCCTGCTTTTAGCCATAACTATCTGGTGCTTATATTTTATTTATTTATCTTCACATGTATGGATGTTTTGCCTGAGTGTATGTTTGGGCACCATATGCATGCCTGGTGCCAGTGGAGCGTGGGAACTCCTGGGACTGGAGTTACAGACAGTTGTAAGAAGCCACGTGGGTGCTGAGAAGAGCGGTCAGGGCGCTTAACCACTGGCCCGTCTCTCTAGTCTATGAAGTGCCTTTGAAACACAAGTGTTTCAAAAAAGCAGATTATCACAATCAATAAGGGGAAAAGGGAGGGAGGAGAGGAAGGAGAAAGGAAGATGGGTACAGCAGCCATGAGGTGCAACAATGTAATCCTAGCACTTGGGAACTGAAGACAGAAGGATTAGAAGTTCAAGGCCACCTTGAGATGCTCCGAAAGAAACAAAATCAGGGGCTGAGAGAATGGACAATAAAATGTGCATCATTCAAGCTTAGAGGCCGGAGCTTTATACCCAGCATCCGCATAGAAATCAGAGCATGGCCAGGCATGATGGTGGAATGTCACCTGCCTCAGTCTCAGCATTCATGAGGCAGAAGCAAGCAGCTCACTGAGTTTGAGGCTAGCCTGGTCTACATAACAAGTTTCAGGCCAGGGTTAAATAGTAAGACCTAGCTTTAAAAAAAAAAATGCAGGATGTGGTGGCTCACACCTTTAATCCCAGCATTTGGGAAGCAGAAACAGGCAGATCTCTGAGTTCCAGGCCAGCCTAGTCTACAGAGGGAGGTCCAGGATACACAGGGAAGTCCCATCTTGAAAAATCAAAGCAAACAAGCAAACAAATAAATAAATAGAGGCACTTTCCCACAAGGAACTGAAACATTTCACAAAGTGTAATAGCAGGCTTGTGTCTGAACAAGAAACACTCTTGCAGCTCAGTGACCAAAAGCCTAATCCCCAGGTCCTGAGTTATATGAGACACCAGGAGTTATATGAGACACCAGCAACAGCAGTTCCTCATGCGGAGGAGGGGAGGAAGCATCAGCAGGAGGGAGGCAGGCGGAGAGTGCCTAGCGGAGAGTGCCTAGCGGAGTGTGCCTAGTGGACTAGCGGAGAGTGCCTAGTGGAGAGTGCCTAGTGGACTAGTGAAGAGTGCCTAGCCGAGTGCCCACCTGGCACACACAAAGGCCTTGCATTGGATGCCCAGGACTTCATAAGTGCGGCAAGGTGGCTTGTGCCTCTAATCCTAGTACTCAAGAAGCAGATGCAGGAGGATCAGAAGTTTAAGGTCATGCTCAACTCCCTGTATAGTAAGTTCAAGGACAGCCTGGGCTACATGAGATCCTGTCTCAACACACACACACAAAGAGAGAGAAAGAGAGAGAGAGAGAGAGAGAGAGAGAGAGAGAGAGAGAGAGAGAGAGAGAGAGA